CCTTTCTGGCGCCCTTCTCTTTGGAGGGTGAATAGGCCAGAGGCTGCTCTACGAGACGGATGCTTTATTGCTATGATCAAATTCCTCGTGATTGACATTCCATATTTTGTTTTCTAACTTTTCTTCGAATTTCTTGTTTGAACTTCTTCATACTGATTTTCATAAATTTGATCCTAATATCAAAGTCCTAACTCCTAATCGTGGTTCAAATTAGTTCCAAACTTCGTTCGTATGTCTCATTAAGATCTTTTATACGTGACTTTCTCAAATTTGAAATCTCCCGATCTCTTCCTAACTTCGTTCGCATGTCTCTTTAAAAATTCTTAAAAATTCTCACACTAAAATCTGAAATTCTAATCTCCTATTATGAGTCCTATAATTCCCTATGCTGCATAACTTTTTTCTTACTTTTTGTGTTCAGAGTATTGAAATTCGAATCTCAAATTTTGTTAAAAAATCTTCTACAATTCTTACTTCCGATTTTTACGTCATAATTTTGCCTCCTATTTTTGAATTCGAAACAACTTATATCTGAGTTTATGCTGGTTGTAGTGGGTTGTTTTGGTGGTGATAGTTGGAGATAACGCGCTCTGCGGCGAAGGGGCTAGCCTGTAGGGCGGGAATAGGGTACAGTAGCGGTGGAGATGGTGACTCAACCGCAGTAAGTCTTGCCGGAGTAGGGGTGAGCATGAATTTTGTTGGCCGATTGCAACCAGTGCCCGGAGGAGCTAAATGATGGGAACCACAACTATGGTGAGGATTGGTGGCTTGTCTGTTATCTGCTGACGTTCGTTGGTCCCTGTGGTCTGCGAATGGACGAGGCCAGAACGACGCTGGTTGGTACCGGGGCTTGGTAGCGCTGCCCTGTAACTCGAGCTGTAAGGGGGCATGAAACCTGGTAGAGAGATCTGGGGAGTCGTCGAGGGTGGAAGGCGCTCCACTGTCTGTTGGTGGGCTGATACTTAGTCAACGTTGGGCGGAGCCGGGGCGGGTTGCTCTGCCCTGTAGCCTAGCAGGTGGGGGGTTTCTGGGGTGGGTCGCGCCACCCTGTAACCTAGTAGGTGGGGGTATGAGGTCTGGTAAAGATTGAGTATTGGGGTTTTGGGCGGAGACGAATAAGGTTGAGCTGCTGAAATACACCAGGGCGGGTGGTTTTTGGTCCGAAAGCCTCGGATAATCTTAGCTGGTTTTTGTGTTCTTCACAAGTAAGTTTGCTCTTTGGTGGTCTTAAGAATGTTTTAGGACTTTGGGGACTCCTAGCAACTCGTTTTAGGTGGCTTCGATGCTGTTATACTCAATGATCTGCGGCTGTTCGATGCCAGAACGACGCTAGCCGGCGCTGGGGCGTTGCCATGTAACCTGCTGATGCAGGAGCGTTGGGCCTGGTAGAGAGATTTGGGGATGCTTTGGGGTAGGCATTCCACGGGACAACCAGGGGTTGCTGCTGGGACGACGCTGGTCGGAGCTGGGGTGAGTTGTGTTGCCCTGTAACCCTGCAGGATGTGGGGGTGTGACACCTGAAAGAGCTCAGCAGGGAGTAAGACAGTGTTGGAGAACTTTGGAAGGGTCTGTTAGTGATTTTGAGGGTTTTGGAGCATTTGTAGGACCTCTGCGGTCTATTCCCGTGCCTCCTGAATTACCGCAAGTGTTCTCAGACGTTTTCAAAAAAAGGGATCCAGGTGAGTGGGAGAATGAGATGGTGGGATATAACACATCCTACTAGTGAGGGGGATAGCTGGTGGGATAGGAATAGGGTACAGCAGCAGCGGAGATGGTGGCTCTGCTGTAGTAAGTCTTGCCGGAGTGGGATTCAGGGGATTGATTGGCGGTGTTTTTGGATCCCTTTCTGAATTGTACATATCATTTTGTTTCAAAAAAATGGGGGGTGGGGTCTTCAAAAACGATGGTGGGATATCAAGTGTCCTACTAGTGAGGGGGCTAGCTGGTAGGATGGAAATAGGGTACAGCAGCAGTGGAGATGGTGGCTCTGTTGCAGTAAGTCTTGCCGAAGTGTGACGCGGAACCTTACGCCCGTACTGTCTTTCGTTCAGAGTGCTAAGTGTGCGGAAAAGAGGCCCAGAAAAACGGCAAAATGGGGTGTGCCAAGGATTTTTGGAAATTGAGTGTGGGGACACAGACAGAACTGAAATCCCCCGTGACGGTCCGATGAAGTGAGTTGGTTGCTTTTCGCACGTTGCAGAATGCGCGCGCGAATTCGGCGCGAACGGAGAGGGGAATACAAAGTTTAATCCAAAAAGTATTGTCGTACTTCCCACCGTGCTACGACCCTTCGTTTAGAGCAAAAAGGCTTCGGCACACTTCGCGTGTCTCGCTTGCGTATTAAGTCACAACGTCGCTCGTTAGTCAGTTTTGAGTCCGACGTGGAGGGTCTCAGTCGTGTGGCTCTTTCTCTATGTTCGTCGTCGTTCCGTATACGGTAGTGGAAACCCTTGGATTCGTAGTGCTCGAAACGCTGGCACTTAGTGCACAGAGTGCGAGGCCAGTGGGTTTCCACTGCTGTCCACGGAATGACGATCAGCTCGTTAAAGGGCAGCAATATCGAGTAGGGTGGAAAGTGAGTATCGATAATGACAAACCCCGCATCCACGAATCCCGAACAACGGTTTTCGGGAGGGAAGTAATATCGTCTGCCGATCCGTGCGACAACTTCTCGCACGTCCTACTTGCGTACACGTGTCCTTTCCTCGTCGTAAGGGAAGGGTCGTGTCGGCGTGGGAGATACGGGAGGCTGGCGCCGTTATCAGTTTGATCATGCACTTAACAGAGGGACCGACCCGCGACTCAGGTTTTAATAAGCCACGCGGCGTTGATTGGATGCGCCTTGTTTTTCGAGGCAGCCTTGTAGATCGGTTGCAGATGTCGTGCAGCATAAGGCAGATGGCATGCGCAGTGCATTCAGAACCACATATTTAAACACTCTTGCATTCTCGAGCAAAATCCCATCGAACGTCGAATCTAATCAATGCAAAAAGACAAGCATCTACATACATACATCCACTGTGGAAGGTGTGAAAATAACCAAAGGTGCGTGGGTCAGAAATCAACCGATGTACACACGCATCCACCATTCACAAGACAAGRGGATCAATCCCTYRAMATCTGGGGATTACCCAGGAAACTAATGGAAGAGTTCCGGAAGAAGTTCCTTCACACAGGAAAAACACACAGATTCWTTCTCATTCACGGGAAGGAMAATACTCRTGACACAGCGTCATTCRACTCAGAGGAAGGGGAGAGAGAGARATGTCGAGATAGGAGATACAGAGATCYGAAAGAGGACATTCGGCGTTGCAGCCGTATACTCACACCAAAAAATAAAGATCCGCAACAACAAAGGCGCTTTCGCCGTGGATTTCCAGTATGGCCCCGGGCCAATCACTCACTCAACTCCAATCACC